CCATATGGCAGGTTTATACTGGGCTGTGTAGCCAATATGCATGCAGGCCAAGGGAAATGGTATGGAGGAAATATGCTCTAAGATTGATAAAAAAAAAAAAAAACCAGCAGTCATTCAAGCCTTCATATGAACTATTTCCTGTGGAAAATAATAATGGAGAGAGGAAGCAGGTTGGTTGATCTGTTGAGGTTTCATAAGCTGTCTTTACGGTGGGGTCTGCATAACTTTTGTACAGCAGAGATGGGATTTCTCTGGTGTTTCCATAGATAATTGGCTCTCAGGATAGCTGCACATAATAATGCTGAAATATTTATCAGACCATGAAAGTACGTAGTGACCAAAATAATTGGTGTTCATTACTCCAAAGAGCCCATCTTTCTTAGTAAAGCTGTATCTCTAAATAATGAGTGAACATTTATTAAAATGACAGTATGCCCTTTACCTTTACCATTTCATTTACAAATGATTAATCTGAGGCACGGAGAGAAGATTTATTTCCTGATGTTGGTCAGTGTGGTAAGGGTAAGATTCAAATCTGGTCTTTCCAGCTCCGGAAATATGTTCTCTACACCTTCCAGCTTTCTTTGGGAATGTAACAAACATTTAGAGAAGTCAGGGATGGAAATGTGAATTAGTGGTAGAGTGCTTGCCTAGCATGCATAAAGCCCTAGGTTCAGTTCCTTAGAACCACATAAACAGAAAAAGCTGGAAGTGGCTCTGTGGCTCAAGTGGTAGAGTGCTAGCCTTGGACAAAAAGAAGTTCAGGGATAGTACCCAGGCCCTGAGTTCAAGCCCCAGGTCTAGCAAAAAAAAATAATTAGAAAAGGGAAAAAAATTATCCTGGCAGATATGCCATTAAAGCCATAAGAATGCTAGCAGCACAACTGTTCCATCCATTAGGACCAAAAATACTGCTTTCATGACGGTGCTGGTATAATGAAAGATTTATTATAGATGGACTTAAAAAGAATGCCTGACATATAGTATAAGCTTCATTCATGCAGTAGTCATATGGCTAATAGGGAATGTGTACTCCAGGGCACATGGACTGTCAAAAGTCATTCTTGTGATAGGCTGAGGTTGAGTTTCTATAGATTTTGCCTGAAAGGTATTCACACCTGAAAATGGAAGCAATTTCAGCTGACCAGATTGTGTTCTACTTAGTAGCTTACAAACATTAGAGCTGTCAACTCTTGCACTGTCCCTGAGCTTTTCTTCCCTCAAGGCTAGCACTCTTATCATTTGAGGAATAGATCCACTTTTCACCTTTTGGTGGCTAATTGGAGATAAGATTCTCATGGACTTGCCTGTGTGGACTGATTTTGAATCTTGGTATTCAAATCTCAGCCTCCTGAGCAGCTAGGATTATAGGTATGATCCAGTGGTGCCCTGCTGTTTCTTTTTAAATTCATTTTTATCTATTTTAAAGCTTTTCTTTTTATTGTTACTACAAAAGTGATATGTAATATAGTTACAGTTATGTAAGTCACATAATGAGTACATTTCTTTTTGGACAGTGGTCACCCCTTCTCTCACTCTCATTCAGTTTTCCCCTCCCATTCCCACCCACCAGTTGTATAGTTCATTTTCAACATAGTGTCTAGTAAATACTACTGCATTTGTTCATTTCCGTGTCCCCCTTACCCTCCCAAAGACAGATAAATGAACAAACAAGACAGAAAACAACAAAGAAAAACCCTCTTGTTTCTATTTCCTGGAGTTCATTTTGATAAATATTATTTTCTGTGATCAGTTTCTTTCTTTTTTATTGTTTTTCTTTTTAAAATAGACTTCTAATAGAAGTTTGGGGTTGATAGAAAAACAAAGAGGAGCCGGGTGCTGGTGGCTCACGCCTGTAATCCTAGCTACTCAGGAGGCTGAGATCTGAGGATCGCGGTTCAAAGCCAGCCCGGGCAGGAGAGACCGTGAGACTCCTATCTCCAATAAACCACCAGAAAACCGGAAGTGGCGCTGTAGCTCAAGTGGTAGAGCGCTCTCCTTGAGCTGAAGAGCTGAAGGGCAGTGCCCAGGCCCAGAGTTCAAGCCCCACGGCCGACAAAAAAAAAAAAAAAAAAAAGAAAAACAAAGAGGACTCTAAGAGAGCTCTCACATCCCCCCCTTTTTTTTTTTTTTTTGCCAGTCCTGGGGCTTGAACTCAGGGCGTAGGCTCTGTTCCTGAGCTACTTTCGCTTAAGGTTAGCACTCTACCACTTGAGCTGCAGCACCACTTCTGGCTTTTTCTGTTTATATGGTACTGAGGAGTTGAACCCAGGGTTTCATGAATGTTAGGCAAGCACTAAGCCTACCTCCTATCTTTACAAATGCTTCGTTCCCACAAAAATGGTATACTTGGCATTATAGAGGAGCCTATATTGATACATCATTATCACTCAAGACCATAGTTTACATTAGGGTTCACTTTTAATATTGGATATTTTATAATTTTAGACAAATGTAATAGCATGTATCCACTAGTATAGTATCACACCAAGTAGCTTAAATTGTCTTAAAAATTCTCTGAGGTAAATTTTCACAAGTCAAAATAACCAGCTACTTAGTTGCTGAGTCCTCTGGCTACAACCCATGATTGCAAATTTCAAGGCTTATCAAGTGGACTCTGAAATGCATTTGGAAAGCACATGGGTAGTACTTGAAACTTGCCTTTTGTACTGTACTGGGGCAGTTATCAAGAAACCAGACTTCAAGTTATAGACTTGCAGGAGGCCATGAGCACACTATATTACATGGAACCTCACAAAGTAATTAACCTTAAAGTCCTTGAGGTAAGCTTGCCTCCTAAGTAGAGAACTAGACACTACATTGCTTTGATATAGTTGTATCAATGTAGTAAGGTTCAGATTTTGATGGAGTCAAAAGTAGTCTTCCACAAAGGACCCTTCAAAATATTTTTTTCTGCAATAAAGACACAATGAAAATAAGACAAAAGCAGTCATGCTACATTTTATTAAGTTCATTTCTAAGGCATAAGTGAAATAAATGTGCTTGCCATTGAGTGAGATTGTCACCATAGGTTTCCTAGTCTGAAAGGTTTTTGACATATTTTTGAATGATGGAAAGCAAGAATGTTGGAACAGATCTGTGTCGATTAGTTTGAATTGATTTACAATTCATGAAGCCATTGATGGCAGAAAAGAATCATTACTGAGTGAGTAGCAAGATGAGGGTCACAGGGATAATCCATAGAGGTCAGGAGTGGATTAAGGCTGGTAATGGACCCTGGAAGAAGCTCACTGCTATTGCTATATTGACCACTTGATAATACGGAAGGGTTGAGCTTGTGGTATGTTTCTTACTTTCTCTTCTATGGCATTTTTATGGCCACCAAGGCATAACCTGTGTTATATAACTCTGCAGATTATTTTTAGAGGCTATAACTCAAACTAGATTATTTCTAGGGTCAGCCCAATATAATTCTTAGGAAGATTACTTAAATATTAACACTAGAAAATTGATGTAGCATAGTATAGTATACTATTGTGGGATTTTGTTTTCTTTTTTTTTTTTTTTTTTAGTTCACTTTTAGATGGTTTGGCCTTTTTTTTTTTTTTTTGCCAGTCGTGGCGCTTGAACTCAGGGCCTGGGCTCTGTCCCTGAGATTCTTTTGATAAAGGCTCGCACTCTACCACTTGTGCCACAATGCCACTTCTGGCCTTTTCTGTCTATGTGGTATGGAGGAATGGAACCCAGGGCTTCATGCATGTTAGGCAAGCACTCTATCACTAAGCCACATTTCCAGCCCCAGTTTAGCTTTTTTAAAACATATAACTTACTTCCTTATCTTCCTTTTGGAACTACTTCTTTTTCTTTTCTTTTCTTTTCTTTTTTTTCTTTTTGTTGGCAGTATGGCTTGAACTCAGGGCCTGGGCACTGTCCCTGAGTTTCTTTTTGTTCAAGGCTAGTGCTCTACCACTTTGAGCCACAGCGCCACTTCCAGCCTTCTGGTGGTTAATTGGAGATGAGTCTCACAAATTTTCCTCCCTGGACTGGCTTCAAACTGTGTTCCTCAGATCTCAGCCTCATGAGTAGCTAGGATTATAAGCATGAGCCATCACACCTGGTTTTGTCTATTTTTTTTTTTTTTAGTGAAAGTCAGCATCAATTTAAACCAGATAGACTCTGACCTGAGTTTCGGAGCCATGGTGTCTCAGCAATGAAATGACCGTAGAGTCCTTAGTCTAAGTATTCATAGAATACATGAGGCCTTTATTGTCATGGAACTTACGCCTCTCCACATGTTTGAGAACATAATCAAGCACCATACTTGTTCTACTAAATTATAATTTTTGCAAATACTGAGTACCTTCTGTGAAGAGAAGGTTTAAGAAGGCATAACATGTCTTAGTGGAGGATACAGCTGGGGACCTTGTATATGATGTAGTGAGTGTTTGTATAGGAAATGATGCTATTTACCCATGAAACTGCTTTTTAGGATCCTAGTGCTTCTGTATCTCTCACAAACTCTCTAGATTCTTCACATGGATTTCAAAGGCTTCGAAATACATGGCTAGGTTTAATCACAGCAATAATTCCACTTCTCTAATACCAGTTTTTCAGTGTTGGTGTTTCATCACTATGACAAAATACCAGACAGAACAACTTAAGGAAGGATGGATTATTTTAGCTCAGAGGTTTTAGCTCATTTTGGTGAGTTGATGAGTTGAATAAGAATGAGAGTTGGCTAAGAATGAGAGAGAAAGAAGAGAGAGTATATGAGGTGGGAGGAAGCTCGTTCTCTTAAGCCTAAACTGAAGGCTTTTTTTTTTTTTTTTTAATTTTGACTGGTCCTGGGGCTTGAACTCAGGGCCTAGGCTCTGTTGCTGAGCTTCTTTTACTCAAGGCTAGCACTCTACCACTTGAGCTACATCGCTGTTTACGGCTTTTTCTGTTTACATGGTACCTAGGAACTGAACCCAGGGCATCATGCATTAGGCAAGCACTCTACCACTAAACTACTTTCCCAGTCCCAGTTTTTTTTTTTTTTTAATATGGAACGCTTCATGAATTTGTGTAATATCCTTGCATAGGGGCCATGCTAATCTCTGTATTGTTCCAATTTTTGTATATGTGCTGCTGAAGCGAGCACTAAGCTGCAGGTTTTGTCCTTTTAATTCTAATTCTGTCCAGGTCCCCTGTGGCTCTGCCTATATTTGGAGCTAGTATTTCCCACTTGCTATTCCTGAGAGTGACCAACTCAGAGATCTGTTTTACTGATCTCCTATGTGCTTCTCAGTCCAGTTAAGCTGTTAACTAAAATTAACCATTATATTTAGGGGAGGTGTTACTGTGGGGGAGTTGGATCTACTTTCTAGAGGAAGAAATACTAGCACTGAGTCCAAGAATGAAAAGCAGTGATTTAGGTTTCTGGCAAATGTATGTGCCAAGCTAGGAAGCTGCAAGGGAAAGTTTCCAGAGACTGTGTGTTTCTTTCAATCTTGGTTTCCTTATGTATAATAGTATTTACCTTACAGAAGTATTGTGAGGAGAAATGAGAGAGTATTTGTTTGTAATGAAATGAGTTAAGTGCTAACAAAATTATTGCCACTGCTACAATAGATTAGTACAAGCATATGCAAAAGAACTATATACACCCTTCATATAACACCTCTTAAGTTCACAATTCTTGCCTGATAAGTACTGATGTGTCTGTGGAAGAAATAGCTGACTGAAACTACTCAGGGGCGATTGCAGCTAGATAATTAAGTCACTCACTTCCCTTCACTTGCTGATGATCCTTAGTAGTCAAGAACTGTGTTGATTTGACTTTTCTTGCTTAGGTCAATCTGAGTCACCAGTTGCTCAACAATTCAATTTCCTCATTGCAAATAATTTACCTGTGGTATTACCCTCTTATATCCTTATCAGGGTTTTTTTCTGGGAGGGAGGGGCACTGGTTGTGGGTCTTGAACTCAGGGTCTGGATGCTGTTCCTGAGCTCTTTCACTCAAAGCTAGTGGTCTACTGCTTTAAATAACGGCTCTACTTTCAGTTTTCTGGTGGTTAATTGGAGATTAGAGCCTGACAGACTTTCCTTGCCTGGGCTGGCTTTTGAACCATGACCTTTAGATCTCAGCTTCTTGAGGATTACAGGTGTGAGCCATCAGTGCCTGGCTTCCTTATCAGTTTTATACTAACATAGTATGGTGTGCCAGACACTGATCTTAACACTGTTCTAGTATTAGCTTATTTAATTTTCCTAACAATCCTATTATTATCACTATTTTCAAAATGCAGAGAATGTAGTACTGGAAGCCTGAGTAAGCAGCAACTAGATCCCAGATTAATCTGAATAGTTGTATAAAGGAGTTACTGTTTAACAAAGCAGTTTATGAATACAAGGCATCTTGATCAGTGTCACCCCTTTGAACATACATTTCCTTTTGACCCACCCTTCTCTTTTCTTAATTTTGTAGTATGTTCTATGAATTCTTGACTACATTCTTTCTCTTTTCATCCCTTCATTTATCCACCCCTTTTGACCATTCTTGTGGGGATTCTTACAGTTTGAATTGACTTCTGATGAAAATAGTGGTAGTTAGAAACTTACCAGCATAGTCCTCAGGGGAGAGGAACACATGAAACATTCCAACTCCCATGAGACATTCTGGCCTGCAATACTGGAGGCTGAGCTTGAGTGAACCAGGACTCTTTCCATCTTTCTAACCTGATTACAAATCTGAAAATAGATTTTTATTGTCTCTTCTTTGCTGCTTATGTTCCATGCTGCACCTTTCAGGTCTTATCACACTAATGACAAAAATAGACAACCCAGATGCCCCTCTGTGAACAAATGAATCAGGATAATGTGGTATATATACACAATGGAATTGTACTCCTCCATTAGAAAGAATGATATTGTACATTTGTAAAGAAATGGAAGAAATTAGAAAACATTATATCAAGTGAAGTGAGTTAGGACAGAGAGACAAAGCTTGATGGTTTCCTCATATGTGGTAGCTAGAATTAGTCTATAAAGCTATAAATAAACATGCTGGGTGGTTTGCAGGTGGTTACAAATTTATTAACTGAAATATGGTAGCTTAAAGAGGGAAGTAAAATAGTGTAATTTCTTAGAAAGACAAAGTCAAAGCCCAAGAAACACCAAGAAATAGGTACTTTCAAGAGAAGGGGGGTGTTAAGGAGGGGAGGGGTAGATAAATGAAGAGGAGAAAGGGGGGAAGGGAGGAGAGAAAATGCAGTCAAGAATTATATACGCTACAAAATTCAAAAAAGTAAGGGAAGAGGTAGATAGAGAGGAAAATGAGAATGGTGAAAGGGGTGAACTGGTCAAGATGCAGTGTATTCATAAACTGCTTTGTTAACTGACAAATCCTTTATACAACTACTTAAAGATAATTAAAAAAAAGTGTTAATTCCAAAAGAGAGCAAAATTAGAAAGAATCAAGGCTGAGTGAATCGCTAAACTCCAGAGTGGTGTTAGCTTTATTGTCTCCATCTCTAGGCCTTTCCAAGAGAGGGGCCCCTCCCAGTGCAGAGCTCAGACCTATCCACATCAGCAGCCCAAGAGAAGAAAGCTAAGGAAGTATTGAGAAACTGGAAAGAGAAAGCTAATTCCAAACACTCCTTCATGTGGGAGCAGCTCTCACTTACTTCTTCTTCTTTTTTTTTTGGGTCCGGTCGTGGGGCCTGAACTCTGGACCTGGGCGCTGTCACTCAGCTCTTCAGCTCAAAGCTAGCGCTCTACCACTTGAGCCACAGCGTCACTTCTGGCTTTTTTCTTTTTGCTTATGTGGTGCTGAGGAATCGAACCCAGGGCCTCAGGCATGCAAGGCAAACGCTCTACCACTGAGCCACCTTCCCAGCCCAAAGCTCTCACCTACTTCTGAACACTTGAAGCTACAATTCAAACAGCAGAGCCTTAATATCTCCTTCATCATAGCTTCTCAAGGGGTAGGGGTGGGTAAGATTGGGTTCAGTGAGATAGGAAATAGAGGCAGAGATTATAACTGAGTTCCCTAGAAGTTGGCTGTGTCACCAACAGTAGCACAGGATTAATCAGAACTGTTGATGAAATTCATAAATGAGTCAGGATACAACATATTGTGAGGCAAACAGCAGGGACTCATGAGTCAAGTGACCTCAGTTTGAATTCTGCTTTACTATTTATTAGTTGAGTGAGCTTGTACAATTTGCTTAATTCCTTGTGACTCAGACAAGTCAATTTAAAGCCTGACCATAAAGTTTAGAATGACAAAAATGAAAGGAGAATGTGTGGGTATGGCATGTTACACAACTTGGCAAACCTATGTTGGGAGATGTTAGTACTTCTCTCTCAGCAACCAATGGAAGAAATAGATAAATGCAAACAAAAAAATCCCCAAACACATCAGTAAGGAAATAGGAGACAACAGAACATTATCAAGCAGATTGACCTGATTGACATTGTTAGAAGACACTGCCTCACTACGCAGGCCACTCAATTGGACTCCCTCCATAAAGGGTTTTGTTGCCAAAGAAATTAGAAATTTTCTTTGCATCCAGCTTTTAATTTGATAAAAATCAAAATTTTATACAATTATAGAACCAGTAGAACAGTGGTATCTGTTTCAAAGTAAATGTAGCTCATTTTGCTGTTTTTCCCCTTTCTTTATAGCATTTGAGCACCTTCTCTCTTCAGGAAGTAGGGAGGGATGGATAGGTACCTCATTCATCTCTCTTGTACTCCTTCCCCAGGGATGTAAAATGGGAAAGGGAAGATGGTAGAGATGGGAAAATGAATACGAGGATGGACACTAAATTTGCAAAAATATTTCCACATCTGTTGTTATTTGTCAGTAATAATGATATGGGAGTAGAGGGAAAGCTTGGACCATGTTGTAGTTATTGTTTGATATTACTTAGCTTTCATTGAATTGCTCTTTTGTCACAGGCCATCATCACTTGTTTCATATTCTACAGAGGTGTCAGGTGATAGAATAGTTAATTGTTTAAGATCCAAGATTAGCTTCCCTGAATACAAACTAGGCTTTTTATAAGTGAAAAGTGATGAAAATATAGGTGGAATATGTATTTATGTATATGTGAATATATATAAAGATATACATAAATGAATGTATTTATATGAATATCTGTGAATATTACTCTGCCATAAAGAAGATAAAATTTTGTCACTTGCAGGAAATTAGATGGATCTGGAGATCATGATGTTGAGTGAGCCAATCTTAAAAAGTCAACAGGTTGCTTGATGCCAGTAGATCAAGCCTGTGATCCTAGCTACGCAGGAGGCTGAGATACGAGGATCACTCTTACCTCCAGACCACCAGAATGCTGGAAGTAGAACTGTGGCTCAAGAGTTAGAGTACTATTCTTGAACACAAAAGCTCAGGGACAGCACCTGAGTTCAGGGGGCTCTGAGTTCAAGCCCCAGGACTGGTGCATATGTGGGTTGTACCCGCACACACATGCACATACACACATACAAAGTGAACATTTTCTATTCATGTTCACACTCATTTGTGGAGAATAGACCTAAAACGTTGATGCTATGATAATGATAATAGTAACAAATGATAATGGATATGTATCCATTTTCATCAGATATGGGAGTGTATTAATGACGTGGGAGGGGAAAAGAGGGACACTGAAGGGCAAAGAGGATTGAAGGACATTGAACAAATTCACCCTCTCTACCAGGCTGCCATTCCTTCCCTCTTTCAAATGACATTTGGTGGGTTTCATCATGCTATAGCTGTGTGTGTGTGCGCATGGGTCTATATCTGTGTGTGGGTCTCTGTAGTACCACTGTGTGCTTGTATAGAAATACTACAGTGAACCCCCACCCCCACAATGAAACATTACAAAAATGTCAAAATAGAAAAAACCCTTAAACCCACAGTACCAAAAAAATAAATACTACACCTCCCCCCAAAAATCTATACAACAACTGAAACTCTGTACCCAGGAAATGTGTGTGTGTGTGTGTGTGTGTGTGTACACATGGATAAATTTGTAAGAAGAGGGTGAGATAGGAGATAGTGTTGGGCCAGCAAATGAAGCACTCTGGGCAAGTGAATAATGATGCCCTCCAGCTTACATTGATATCCTTTGTTAAGTATGTAAATGAGAT